AGACCATAAAGCTAAGCATGGTGGCCTATGTTTGTAATCCCAGCAGGCAGGAGAATCAGGAGCCAGACCATGTCTCCTAAGAAAAGGATAGAAAATAAGCACATTAGCCTGGTAAGTAAGTGTGTGAGTGTCAGGAGCTTCACATGTAGATATGTGGGGTGCTCTGGAGGCTGATGCACACGAGGGCATGTGTTGTTTTGGTCATGGGTTTGACACATTTAGTACAAGTCAGAAGGGTGTGAAGTGGAAAGTGTGTATTTATGTACACATACATAACCACACAAACACAAGAGATCAGCCCTGTCCACTGTAATGTTCTGTTTCTGCTTTCAACTCACTTGAGGGCACTGGATTATGGATGTTTCAGGGAACCTTTTCTGAAGTGAGGCCACTTGGATTCAAAGCCTACCCTCACCTCTCATTCACAGGGGCAAATGATCTGGCTTCTCTCTGGTTTGTTTCCATCACTGGCAAAACAGAGATGATAAGGACAGCATCTCCTTCCCAGGTTTCTCTGGAAGCCTCAGCTGAGTTCATGTACGTGAGCTACAGGTCCTCAGCGTCAGCTTCCACCAGCCTGACTCACTCTGCTAAGGCAGCGCAGGAAGAGCTAGGCTCACTTCTTCACTGGCCAATGGAGTGAGTCAGCAACTGATGTAACTTTTCCTAAACCAGTTCCTCATCCATAAGTGGAAGATAACAGCACCGAACCACATGAGATTACTGTGAGGGTAAATGAGACAGCATACTGTTTGACGATCTGTGAACTCTCCAAGAATAGTATTTACTTCTCTTGTCTTTTCCTCTTCCCCTAAAATTAAAAAATTATTTGAGATAGTATAGTGAAAGAGGAAGGGAAGAAAAGATGAAAAGATATTCTGGAGCGTTGAAAGTCAAAATATGATATAGTATATCTTTAAGGTTATTTGAACATCTGAAAATTTATCCTTTTAAACAAAAGCTCTACAGATGTAAGACAGGATGATTGATCTACTTTTGTTATTTTCTGATCTTTTATCTTAGAGTGTGAGAGAATGAAAAGGAGTTGAGTAATTTATAGATCTTTGAACTAATTACAATAAAACCCTAAAATCTATTTTCTTTAGTTATTTTTATTTCAAGTTGAAGTGTTTTTTGTAGCTATGTTGTCTTTCATGAAAAACAGAAGAACAATCTGTGAGAAATAAAAGAAATCTAGCCTGGTGTGGTGGTACACACTTGTAATCTGTTACTCCAGAGGCTGAGGCAGGAGGATCCCAAGTTCAAGGCTAGCCTGAGCAATTTAAGTGAGTCTCTAAATAAGCAAACAAGCAAACAAACAAACAAAAAACCCCAAAGAATCTGGAGGCAGCTCAGTGGTAGAGTGCTTGCATAGCATGTGTGAACCCCTGAGTTCAATCCCCAGTACTAGGGAGAACAGAAAAGAAAAGGAAAGGTGGGGAGGAGAAGGGAAGGGAGGGGAGAGGAGAGGAAGGAGAAACCTGCACTGTTATCAGTAAGGAAGGAAGCTGGGCTTGGTTGCGCCTTTGTAATCCCAGCACTATGGGAAGCTGAGGCAGGAGGATCACAAATTGGAACTCATCTCAGGCAATTCAGTAACTTAGTGAGACTGCCTCAAAATTTAAAAATTAAAGAAATGCCTGGGGATGTGTGGGAAGGCTCTTGGTTCAACCCCCAGGAACACACATGCATGTGTGCACACACACTCACACTCATATGCATGGCAGAGAGGAAAGCCTGGTCAGGTAGTGTGGCCCTGCTAGACCACTGTGATTCAGGCACTGGTCAGATACATCACCGCTGGTCACTGCCGCTTTCCTCTCTTCTCTCAGCTTCTGCTTCTTCACTCAGACTTAGGAGCAGATTAAGGTTAATTTCCCCAACTCATTCTCTAAAGGACTGAGGAAGCTAACAGTTCCGGGAGGGGGGAAATTTAGAATATTTTACAAGTACAAAGTTCATCTTCATCATCATCATCATCATCATCGTCGTCATCAACATCATCATCATCATCATCATCCCATCATCATACAAAGCAAAGAATGAACCCCATTCAGAGCATCACTTCCATACCAACTTTCTTTAAAAGCTTTGCATCAGGTTCCATTTTTCCTGAAGCAGGTTTATTTAAATACTCTTTTTCTCTGTCTCTCTCTCTCTCTCTCTCATTGAAACTACATGTATGTCTGGGCCTGGAGACAGACCCAAGGGGCACACAGAGCAGGAAAGCTAGTGGGATTTCTCTCAGTGAGCCTCACCCTGCCAGGACTCTTGCATCTCCAAGTCAGTGGATGTACAATCTCTGAGCACAGGGCAGGGGATTGTGTTTTCTATCAAGATATCTGTTCTCCCCAGCTTTAGTGTAATGGGGTCAGGGTGTTCCTTATCCAGCTTCTTTGGGTCGGGTTCCATTGTCCAGTGGCAGGGTAAGGGTAGGACTAGATCCCTGAGTATTCTTGCATATCTCTGGGGCCCTGCAGCCCCAAGACTGAACAGGGACTTTCCCAAGGGAAGGGGCAGTTTTCACACTGCCGCCCACCAAAACTTCCCTGAGCCCATTGGCCATCCCCCACCAGAGGTAGGTTCCTACTCTCTAAGGTCTCCAGAGGGCCTTCTACTTCATCATTGAACAAGTCTGGCCCTGCAGCTGTTTGAGTTTTCACACCCTGGCATGCTGAGGTCCTTACAACAAAGCTGGGATCTTGCCTGTGTGTAGAGACAGAAAAGCTCATTTTTGGTTCTGAGTTGGCAGGTGTGGACTTGCCCTGCTGCTTATTTATTCCCTCTAAGACACATATGTTCAACTCTTGCCCTTCAGGCCACATATAAAACCTTAAACATTATCCTGTGATTTTTAGAGCCTTTTCTTTTCTTTTTTGGTTCTGGAGATTAAACCCAGGGCCTTTGTGCTGAACTACATCCCGAGCCCTTTCATTGAGAGACAAGATCTTGCTAACTTGCCCTCATAGGACTTGCCACCCTCCTGTCTCACCCTCCTAGAATGCTGGGATTACAGGTGTGCAGCACTGCACCTGGCTTGTCTCCATTTCAAGGTGTGTGAGCCTGGATTGTGTAGATGACAAGTGAAGTGTGTATCAGATGTCACAAGTGCTGGTGTGACTTGGTGAGTAAACGTGGCAATAATAGTATTGCAACCTGCTACAGGTATGCTTGTCTATAAACAGGTTTTTATTAGGCAGACATGTAAGTTTTCCTGTTTACTTATTAAACTTGGGCTTGTGTTATTTTGTGAAATTATTTAATAAGTTAAAATACTAAAAATAAAGAAAGTTTGTTTTATATGTGGCCCAAGAAAATTCCTGTTTTCTCAGTGCTGCCCAGGAAAGCCAAAAGTTTGTACACCCACATCCCAAAAGAAATCTGGGGAAATTTGGTGCAGGTAAGAACAGGCATGTAGCAAAATTTCAGAAACTAGTTGGTGGTGCAGAAATATTTTTCAAGCAGGATTTGCTTGTTCTGAAAATGTAATTTCCTGTACATTAGTCTAATTCACAACCAAAATAGCATGTGCTCTGAAGGATCCATTCTAATCAAAGAAAAAGCTTTCTATAACATCTTCTATGCAAGGATCTGGAGAAAGCACACAAACGGCCAGGGCGTAGCTCCACCATCATCACAAATTGGACACACCCGAGTAATCACAGCCCAGGTAAAAAGCAGAGGGCAACAAACAGCCCTATCAGGTCCCCTCCTCTTCAGAAATGAGCTTTCATGGTGTCCAGAGCGTCACTGCTCCACTTTTTTTCTTTTTAGAAACTACTTATGGGACTACTTTCCCCCCATCTTCACTGTTGTCTAGTATTTTTTCTCTTCTTTCTTCCTTTCAGATATTATAGAGGCAACACCCTCCAGAAAGGACAGAAAGCAGAAACAGCAAGGGGGAAACTCACCCATAGTTCCTCTACCCAAACTTTTGACTAAGTACTGCACTGGTCATTCTCTTCCCCATAAGCTGAAAATCAGCCGAAGAGAAAGGAGTGCAGGCCAGAGAGCATGATCTCCACCTTATCAGTGCAGTAATGTAAGAAAACGCAGGTGTGGCCAGGTGTCTCACACCGCTTCCATGAGGCAATCATGACTCTGGGAATCTCCTGAGGTTATAGGTTGGAAAATGGGTTCCGGAAGTTTAGGCAGTTTAATCTGGATTTCTGAAAGGAACCCTTGGCACGATGTAGTCTTTTGTCTTAAAACCTCCGGCTTTAAGTGTGTAATGGGATTTCTAGTCAAGGCGATGGATGGTCCTAGTCCCTTGAGAAGCCAGTAGAAGGTATGAGCCGCTTCCCAGAAGAATGTCGGCATACACAACACGGCCTAAAAGTGCCTATCTATTCCCACGGGGTGTGAACCACCGGTACCTAGGGACTGTCTCCAGGCTGCTACGGCTGACTGGGGAATGCCACACACCCTTAAGTGTTCCGTTCAGCCAGAGTCAGCGCTGTCTGCACAGTTCACGGGGGGACAGGCCGGCCGGCCGCAGATGCTGCCCCGCTCCCTCCCGCTCGGCGCGCTGTGCGCCTCGGGACGCCCTCCTTTCCCGCAGAGCTATCACAAAGCACAGCACTTGGCACCCTCGCTCTCCACGGCCCAGGAGCACTGACTTCACAAAGTTCTGGGGCCCATTTCTCCGGGATCGCTGCCAGCTGGGTATACAGCTCCGGCCAGGAGGGGGCCCGGTGGCCCTGGGAGCCACGGAGACCAGAGGAACTTGCATTCATTTCCAGACCTGGGCCCCCCACAGAGGAGCGCGGTCCCTGACGGGCTGGGCTCCCGCGCGCGGTGGGCACCTGGGGACACTCGTGCGCGCTCACTGAGAGGGTGCCGGGCCGGGGTGCCCACCTCCCCCGCGGCCGGGCTGCGCCATCCCTCCCGCTGGCCCAGCCCGCCAGTCCAGCAGCGGCGAAAGCAGGCGCAGCGCCCCTACCGCCCGCTTTTCCGCCTCCATCTCCTCCTCCTTCCCCCAGCCACCCGCTCAGTCACAACCGGTTCAGACTGGCCAAGGTGCCCCGCAAAGCAGAGAGACGAGGAGGGAAAACAAACTTCCCGGGGAGGAGGAAGACAGAGAAAGAGAGGGTGGAGCCCCGAGGAGGGGCAGGCTCCCTAGCTCCATGTGGCCACCGCCGCCGCGGGGCTCGGCCAGGGCGAAGGGCGGCGGCCCGCGGGGCAGCGCCTAGCGGGACCGATTGCCCAATACCGCGGCGGGGCCGGTCCGGCCCGGGATAAATACGCGGGGCCGGACTGCAGGCGAGAGCGGCGGCCACGGTCGCCGGTCCATCCGCCCGGCCCGGCCCGCGCGGGGCACTGCGCCCTGTGCTGCGCCCGGAACCTCCGGCACGCAGGTAACTGGAGCCCGTGGGAGGGTCCCGAGGTCGGCGGCCACCCTGCTGCCCAGCTTCCTGGAGCCGAGAAATCCCTCCTCTGGGTCCGAGCGGAGCAAAGAGGCAACTGCTGCGCTGACACTCGAGGCCAAGCAGCTCGTAACCAGTTTCTTGTTTGGGGTGCAGGCTGGCGGCTTGCGCCCACCCCTCCACGCTCTCCTTTTTAATGGAGTTTTTCTCCGCGATAGGCAGAATTTCCCGGGAATCTGAGGACTGCATTTTGCGTGGAGTGGAAAGAAAAAGAAGGGGAATCCTAATGGGGTGGCGGTGGTGGGGAAAGTGGCCTCAGATGAGGCTCAGGGTGGAGAGCTGTCTCCGGGTTCCTGACACAGCTTCAGGGGTTGCTGATGGGAAAACCGAGGAGCTATGCGACCCAGGTGGGGTTCCATGTACCCGAGAGGCCCTGGCTCTCCAACCAGGTACGGGCGCACGCAGGTGCTCAAGTGAGAATTGTTGGGGCATCCCTGGTGCATCTGAGCCGGAAAAAAAAGCGGCACGAGGGGGCAGGACAGATTCTGCCCGGTGGCGCCAGGTTCATTCAGCACCACCAGGTCAACCCGGGTGAGCGCAGGCGTGTAGGTTGCCTTGACTGCAGGAGGCCCAGGCACCTTGGCCTTCTGGACCCTGAGCGGAACTTGGGAGGACTTGATGCTTATTTTCCATCTCTGGCTCGCCCTGGGTACCCTTCCGTGGTTTAAGCAGCACCCAGAGGCTGGCTTGCGAGACAGCTGATAACTGTTTTAAAACGTGGCTGTCGGAAGCAAGCATTGCTTTATTCTTAGGATGCCAAATCCGTCCAGCACAAACGATCCTGGAAGTTCAGTCAGCATTAACCCTAAATACATTGTATTGTATGTTACTTAATACAACATTTTGGGGGACCCATTTGCTGGGCCAATGTTTGGGTGTATTTTTTTAAATCTTGAATTACAGTGTATAGTTTAGATTGAGGGTGGATTCTCACTCTCCACCCCTACCTTCGAGCAGAGTAGCATCCTCTTAGAACTTGTTCAGACTAGTATAGGCAGATGACTGAGGAAGGGAGAGAAGATTGTGAGAGAAGAGAGTGGAAAGGCAGAATTCATTACATGATTTTAGTCACTTTTAAATAATAATTAAATATAGGTTTAGCACCCATATCATTACCAGAAACAAGCCCCCCCCCCCAGGTTCTTGGAAGTAAAAATTAGATAATAAATTTGTTTAACCTGAAATTCTACAACAAGTCATACTGTCCGCATATCCCACATCCAAAGATCCTCCTGGTTGATTCTCCCTTTTGGCTGTAGGTGAGTGGGACCAGGGTCTCATCATGTCTATTGGACGAGTATGGGGGTGGGGTGAGCAAAAGGTATTGGTGACATATATCATCAGGACCATAGGAAATCTTTGCTGGCTTCTGACGCTGACTCTGAAAGCTGATGGTGATGATGATAGTGTGAATATGTCTGAATCCTTTTATCGGGACAAATTGCAGTACTTCAGGGGTGGATCTAGCCATGAAACTAGAGCTGGATGATGACAATTAGTCAGATGTTGTCAGATCTTCAGGTTTTACTTCCACACCCCATTCTCTTGAATTTGTGTTTTGTGCAGTCTTTTTCTACACTGAGATCTCGCTTGACCTTCCTTCACAGAATGGAGTTGCATTCAGAAAGCCTGTAGGAAGATGAACTGAAACAATGTCTTCCTTGAGAAACTGTAGCCTTCCAGGAAAAGAAATCACCTAGTGACTTCAGTTTTAATTCAAGATTACAAAAGTGCATACATTTTGAGATAGCTGATGTTTTGTTTTCTTTGGGCAGTTCTCTATAGAAACTACATTATTCTCTGTGGATAAGGGATTGAACTACAAACATTAAATTCGTAATCCCACCTATTCAAAAGCCAGAGGGAAGGAGAGTCACAAGTTTGAGGCCATCCTGAGCAACTTAAAATAAACATGAAAAGGGGCTGGAGATGTAGCTCAGTAGCAAAGTAGCCCTAGGTATGGTTCCAGTACAAAATAAAAAAAGAGGAAAGAGGGGTGGAGGGGAGGAAAGTGGTGGGGGAAGGGAAGGGAAGGACAGGGCTCTGGGAGGTAGAGGCAGGAGGATTGCAAGTTTCAGCCCAGACTGGGCAGCTTAGCAGCTTAAAAAGATCCTGTCTCAAAATAAAAGTAAATAAGGACTGGAGATTTAGCTCAGTGCGAAGACCTTGGGTTCAGTCCCCAGTACTTCAAAAACAAAATTAAGAAAACTGAGTTGAAGGAAAGAAGGCATGGTCCTTTCCTTCAGAGTGTTTAGTGGGAAAGATAGGCATCCTTCCAAATATCAATAATACAAGACAGTTTCACTGGAACCATAGGAAAGCAACATCAATAGCGCGCTGCTGAATGACAGAGAAAAGGGGAGGGAGGTTCATTCAAGGTTCAGAAATGAGAAGAGTTCTGCGGGGGTGGGGGTGGGGGGTTTGCAGCATTTCAGCTGGGACTTGAAAAGGGAAGGGAATCCCCTGAAGGAAAGGTGGCCTGCTAGAACAAGAGACTGGCACAGAGGTATGGATGTCTGGTGTGTTCAAAGGAAGCAGAACAGTGTGGAGCAGTAGCTGGAATCTGGAATTTAAAGTAAGTCTGGGAGGTGGGATGGGGCTAGAGGAGGGAGGACGTGACAAATCGTAGTAAGAAATTAACATTGGATTGAAGATTATTATGTTTGTATCAGCAAGCTCAGTATTCTTAACTATACTTTTTTCCCATTAAGTTCAGTTTGTTAAGTTTTCCCCTAAAATAAGTGATAAAATTTCAATGATGTTTGATTCTTATCAGTATTACTGTAAGACTAAAATGTTCCAAATAATCTTCAATGCTTTCTTCAAATTCAACATTGTTTTTGCTCTAAATCTGTAATCTTGTGGTATAATAACTCTTAATGTGATTCAAAGTTTAGATAGGAAAATAGCTCCACTTTCTGGGCCGGGAAAGAGTAAAGCCACTTTCTACTATTTTGTTCCAATTGTTAATAATAAGAGTAATTGTTAATGTTTATTTAACATGCTATATCAAGGGAGTGACTTACAGTATGTTATCTAGTGAGGCATTATTTTGATTTTAGATTCAATTTTCAATAAGGTCACTCAATTAGGTAAATGGTCAGACCAGAATTTAGGCCCAAGCAGGCTACCTTCAGAGCCTGTGTTTTGAATAATAATTCAATGATATCACATGATAAAGGGATTATACATGGTAACATATTAATAGTAGAAATTGGGCCTGGCACGTGTAGGAGGAGTATTCTTCTATTTCTTTTTTCTTTGTGTCCTCATGATTCTGATTAATTTCACACCACACATTCAATGATAGGGCATATTTCCAGGTCTTCATATTCCTTAAAACTATTACATGATCTTATACTTTAATAACCAACTCAAAATAAACTCAAGCTCTTTGGGAAAAGTCAGGATATGGGATGAGAAAAACATTAGCAAATGTGATAGCCTTATGTATGAAGATCAGACCAGCCAAAATCTCTTCAAGAATCAATTTCCAATATGCTCATTATTCACAATAAGCCTGAATGCACCAGGTATTTGTATTTTGGCATCTCATATACATCTCCACTTGTTTTGATTTTTTTTTATCCTGAAGATGATACAGCAAACATACTGGTTTGTACATGGTGTACTAAAGTGTGCTTTCAGATGACAGATTGGATTTTATGCAATCAGATATTAACTGCAAACTATATACTAAGCAGAAGAACATGTTAGTGCCCTTAGCATCATCATAGATTTCCTCACCATACTACCCTCCTTGGCCAACCTTTGAGGAGGGATGGGAGTAGAGGCAAGCTGTAGTAAGAGTCAGGCAGTACAGCAAGCATGGCATGGTATATTTGTGTTTTGGGCTCTCATTTTGCCCATGTTTAATGCTAGCCTGTCTAGATCTCTCTGTCTGTTCTCAGACTCTGAGGAGTTTACACCTCCTGCTGTTTTCTCATCTGATTTTGTGGGCAGGACTTAGAAATACATGGCTGTTCATGGGATTAGTGAGTGAGGAATTTTTTTTCAACCTTATTCAATGTGGGGTCATTTTTAATTATTTTTATCATAATAAAAATTTACTTGAAAGTGCAGGGTTAAAGGAAAATAGACTGATGATTTATTGCTGCTCCTGCCTCCACACACAACCATAATTAATATTTTTATGTTTTCTTTATAAAAATTGTTAAGTTTTACTACTACATGTTTGCAGTACACAATGATTACATTCATTGTGGGGAACTGATACATGTACATACACATCTTAATTCTTTTTTTCCCCTTTCCATTCACACTCCCACTTTATTTATTTTTTTTACTTTTATTAGTACATGCTTGCAGTATAATGATCACGTTCACTATAGGGAATTGATTGGTACATGTACATAACACATTTCAGTTCTTTTTTTCCCCTTTTTCACCACCCTCTGATTTTGCCAGCATCAGATTCACTTATTTATCTTATAAGTCTCATCCTTATCAAGTTAATTATACCTACAGATTAATAGCCAGACTAACAGGCCAAAAACATAAAACTATGACAGTTCTACTAAATCAGTGTATACTTTTAGATACATTGTCCATGGTGGATTACAATAACTTCTTTTCCTATTGTGTGGCTTTCACTTTGTACTTCATGTATATATTGGATTTCTCATATAAGAGAAACTGAATATTTAAGCTTGTGTGTCTGATTTACTTCACTTAACTTTATGGTCTCAAGGTACATCCATTTTCCTACAAATAATTTGAGTTTATCCTTCTTTATAGCAAAATAATACTCCAATATGTATAAATACCACTTTTTTTTTGTACTGGGGATCGAACTCAGGACCTTGCACTTGCAAGGCAGGCTCCGCACCACTGAGCTAAATCCCCAGCAGTGCCACATTTTCTTTATCCATTCATCTGCTGATGGACATATAGGTTGCTCCCAAGATTTA